ACTCCTTCTCGTACTTTCATGAATTATCGGGAGACTACTAGATTGGGGGTAGTCTGGTATATATAAGATGGTCACAACGTGACGGAACAGAGGTAATGAGTAATTGAATGTATGCGGATAAACTATTGTTGGCCACGTGAGACGTGAGCGTTTGTTATAGAGCGACTGTTGAAATTAAGTGTATCGTAAAGTTATATTCGGAAAGAATAAACCAGTTTTATTAAGTAAGGACTTGTGTCGCTAAAGTTTCGTCGGAACGAATTTACGGGAAATCAATTAACGAACAGAGACGTAACAATATTTTTGTTGCTCCTTTATGGGATGTGTCCTGTTTATAAAGATAACCTTCCCTCTGACTTGTCCTCAGATTTTAAACTTAAATGATAAAAACAAATAATGAAAACAAACCTCTTTAATTAACGGAGCCTCTAAATTAAAAAAACATCAAATGTTTTTTTTTTCAATTTTGTAGTTTAAACATTTAATTTTATACTTTCAGCACATAGTCTCTTAACAGCAATATTATATTATACTTTTATTGCTAAGCAATATGATATAAAAGCCATTGTTGGAACACATTGTTACCAAAACGCACTGGCTTTTCTTTATATTAGAAGTTATTATATAAGGAACCACTTTTTTTTTAATGTGTTTTTTCGCTAGATTGCATCATTAAAAAGATGCGCATTCTCGCACGTGCGTGTCTGTCTATCTGTCTGTGATTTATATCTATAATTTCCAATATAAGGAACCACTTTTTTTTTCTATTTGGTTTTTCGCTAACTTGTCTCATTAAAAGGATGCGCACGCACGTGGATAAGTAATAGCACCCAGTAACACACCCTCAGGGTCCATATAGTATGGGTGCAAAATTTTGGGTGTCTAGGTTCTTTCCTCTTGAAACTATGGCGGTCACAGAGACACGTGAGTATCTGTTTATCTGTATGTGATTTTTATTTGTAATATAAGAAACCACTTCTTTTCTATGTGGTTTTTCCCTACCTTACCTAATTACAAAGATGCGCATGCGCTCGCACGTGGAAAACATAAGTAATACCCAGTTGCACACCTTCAGTATGAGTGCAAAATTTCAGGTGTGTAGGTTCTTTCCCTTTGGAGCTATGGTGGTCACACTTCTTTTCTATGTGTTTTTTTACTAGCTTGCATCATTAAAATGACACGTAAATGACATTAAAATGATAAGTAATAATACCCAGGTGCACATCCTCAGGGTCCACTTAGTATGGGTGCAAAATTTCAGGTTTCTACACTATTTCCTCTTAGAGATATGGTGGTCACACACACACACACACATACACACAGACTCACCCTTTTATTATTATATACAAACAGTATTTGAAAAAAAATTTATTTATCTCAATATTCGAGCTACGGCATTCTTCAGCCTCGTTATACATGCCTTAATTATATTGTTACGTCTCTGTTCGTTAGTTAATTTTCCGTATAATTTCTTTCCGAAGAAACTTTAGCGATACAAGTCCTTTCTTAAATAAAACTGGTTTATTCTTTCTAAATACAACTTTGCAATACACTTAGTTTCCGCAGTCACGCTATAACAAACGCTATAATTCACAACGAACGTCACACGTGCTCGACTCAACAATACGTCTCTCTCTGTCCGCAGTTCAATTACACATTACCTTCGCCGTCAGTTCTTACCGGTCTTATATGCAAGAATACCGTACATCTAGTAACCTCTCGAGGATTCACGAACCTTCGAGAATATGATGTGTTACTAGTGTCACGTGACTTCCGCTGTCGTAACAATATTATTATTAGCAGGTAATTTATCACCTATTTTTGTTTGAAATTTTATTTACGATGCACAATTTGCTTTTAATTGTATAAATATTCCGTTATTCCCGATATAGAATAACAACTCGTATTGTTATTCATATAATGAATATATTTGATCTTTATTATGTTTAGTTAGATGTGTTTTATATCTTATAATCACAAGTTATATTTATGAATCTAGATGATCGATGTAATAGTAATAATGAGTAATATGATACATTTTAGACATGGCATTAATTTTATATTAGTGCCCAGGGTTGTATTTTTGTGCTAAAGGAAGGGGCATTAAACGTGTTTACTTAATTTACTTTAATAAAAAAAATTAGATTGATTGAAGATGAGCGCAACAATAATCAGCCAGGAGGATTTTTGGAAGGAAGAGACGTGACGAAGTTTAACTTGGACGTTTATCATAATATGGAAGAGGTAAGGCTCTTTTTCAACTCATTTCACACTTTTGAATCATACTATTAGTATTACTGTCTCTGTGGAATAGTTGCTTAAGTTTGCAGATGTTTCTTATTATCATAACTCCTTTTCCTTTTTTCAACAATATGCTCAAATCTTATTTATAAACTCAGTTTTAATTAATTTGATATAAGATTATGTAAACAGCGCATATGAACAATAATAAATAACTATGATAATTTTTGTACAGATTAATATATATATTGAAGAAATAGCTAAGAATCATGATATAGCTTCCATTCAACGCATTGGAACAAGTGTAGAAGGAAATTCAATTGTTGGTTTGAAGGTAAGAAATAAGTTTTACTAATATGTTGTAAAAACAAACCTCAAAATAATTGCATATTAGTTAAAAATGCTATGACTTGTCAAACATTAAAATTTGTCAAACTAATTAAATAGACACAATAATTGAATAAATAGATTGTGATGTACAAATGTATATCTAAAGAGTTGCATGAAATGTACTGACTGTTTTGGAATATATTTGGCATGCCTCCTCACTGTTTTGCAGGTTTTGATAACATAAAATATTTTAACATTTGCCACACCCTTAAATAGAGAATGTTTAATTCACTATTCCTTTGTATGCTGAGATACCACATTCAGTTGCAAATCTTCTATTTCCACTACAGCAGTTGATTGTTACAAGTTCTGCACTATATTCCATTCAAACATTTCTCATGCAACTAATTTATTAAAATATATTTGTCCCCACTATTGCCAAACAGTCAACAAAACTCATAGATTTTATTCCCAGGGATCAGTCTTTGTGAGTGATGGAAATTATAAACTTTAACATTTAATGGGGTGAAGTTTAGTAGAAGAATCAATACAATTGCTATTAGTATTAAGTTTAGACCTAAAGCTGTAGTTGCAGTAAAATTAGACCATAAAGATTAACTGATACTAACTATGATGAGTAAAAATTAATTTTTATAATTTATCGTATTCTAACTAGGTCTTGTTTTTCTGTTCATAAGGAATTAAATACTGGTTGAAGTTCATAAGGTGGTACACCTAACAGTGATATACATGGCTTACAACAGAACCTAAATTAAATATAGAGTCCAAAGCTCCAAAGGTGTGGTTTTATGTATTTTTAATTCTGGCTGTATAATATCTATATATGGAAAGTTTTTCCTAAACATTAAAGATCTTTGCCAAACATGTTTTATAGTTGTTGTTGTTTTTTCTTTAGAAGTCTTCAAATTCCATTAGATTTTTTGGCATTTGTGACATTGACAGTGAGGCTTTTTGCAAGTCCATCCATATGTGATTATGAGTTGCCTGACTCTTGTATGTTTAATATATGTCATTGTCTATGTTCATGCATTTGCAGGAGTGTTTTCAACTCACCAACTGTCAGGCAAAGATAACTTTTCCCTGTTGCAAAGAGACTTGGTTGGGACACAATATTTGAAAAAGTTGTCAGTTATTATTTCCTAAAAGATAAGCAGTGATATATCATTGCAAAGATAAGTTCACTTGCAATAGCTAATTATAACCCACTCCAGATCATCACCATCATCTTCAGAATCTAGTATAAAGTCAGCAAAGTGAGAATTTCTGTATTCTTAAAAGATTCTTCTGAAATGTTTAAACTCCAATTTCAGAAAGTAGGAAATGAAATATATATTTACTTCATATTAACACTTAAATTTGGAAAATATTATGAATGAATAAGAAATTTACAGAGTAAAACTGGCAAGATCAATTTAACAACATTGCCTCTAATAATTGAATTGATGCATTATACACTGTATAGTGGACATTTTACATTATTTAATGAAAATCCAAGGCTTCTTCATAAGTTACTTAGAAAATTGTTTTCTTAACAATTATGTATATGCAAAAATACAGGAACTTGTCAATGTAAATTGAACCACAAAACTTATGACTGAATGTTTTGTTATACTTATCTGTATTACTGTCCTATTTATGCCATATCTTTGATTATATTGCATATTCTTAGTTTGGAAGTGAACCATATTAAATTTTAAACATGTATTTTCAAAAATGCATGTGATTTCTAGGATGATAATCCAAATGAACTGTTTAGTTGTGACATTATATTGGAAAAACCACCATTCTGTAGCAGTAACATGAAGGCAACTTTGTGTGTCTAATTTAGTATTTAATTCTCTCTTCATTGGTTGGGGTCAAAGTGTGTAAGCCATGACTTGTTATAGAGTGCCATTTTAACATGGTATTATGTATTTGATATCTGAGTTCTCAACTATTCATTTTACCCTACATTGCTGATTTAATGACAGTTTGTGGAAGAGGAGAGGAAATACCAGATATATAATACAGAGATGCTGAAAAGAAACTGTTGATATGCAATTCAGAGGTTCTAGCGGTTATGCACATACAATTTGCAAACTGTACAAATGAAAACGTGTTTTTATTATTCACATGAACATCACCTTGCACTCTGACTTGTCAGAGTCTCAATCAGGCTGATGTCATCAATCCTAGAAATCTTCAATACAAATACATTTATAACACATCTGTTTTTTGTGTACAACAGACTTGTACATTTTACTAAAAGCTTGCTACATTTCAGGTAGATACACATAGTAAATTGAGAATTACAATTAATATACCATGTTTAATATGGGGTTGGACCAAGCTTGTGCACACTGGGCTAAGTAGATACACTTGTGGGTATTAATGTGTGGAATTTTACTAATTAACATTTTACTCAAGTTGGTTGTAAAAATAGTTTTATTATTTCACTAACTAATGCTTTTGTTAATCATTTTACTTATTAAGAACAGTGTGTGTGTGTGTACTTACACCTTTATATGGAACTAGTTAATTCACATCTCGCATTGAGTAGATGTATATGTAAGACTAATGGAAATCCTTAAATGACATGTGTAATTTTTCTTGTTTAAAAAAAATAGATGTGTATGTTATATGGGTAATACACAAAATAACTTGATAGGACATAAGAAAATAAAATAAACTTATGATTTTAATGATAGCAAATTCTACTTTTTCTTTATCACTTGTGTTAACAATATCTTTGCAGATTGGATCTCTAAGTACTTCTGGAACTCAAAAACAAGCTGTGTGGATAGATGCAGGCATCCATGCTCGAGAGTGGGCTGCTCCTGCTACTGCTCTTTATTTAATTCATTATTTGGTGAATGGATATGGAATTGATGAAAAAGTCACAAAACTTATCAATACTTATGACTGGTATATTTTTCCAGTGGTTAATCCTGATGGTTACAAATATACCTGGAATGGAGTAAGATTTAGATTGTTGATATTATTTGATGTTTATAATGTATTTTTTTGCATTAAGTAATATTTATTAATACAAATTACTTAAGTTTATGAAAAGATATGCAAAGATAAACTGTAGACTAATAGTCTTGTATAGTACTAAGTTATGAGTTTAAGTTGCTGACTTTTTCATGATTAAAACATAGTGTTAACTAGTTCTAATAAAGCTATACATTTGTAGTTTATTGTAATTTTTCGTGATAATTTCTTTAGTTAGTATTTATACATAATTAAAATTTTTTAGTCTAGGATTTTTCATTGCAATGATTAAATATGTTTTGAACAGTTAAGCATTGGAAGAAATGTGCCAGTAAGATATATTCTTTTTATATTTTTTTATTCCTTTGAAAATTAAAAGTATTATTTTCAGAAATTATTTTAAAAGATATTGTTATTGTATTCATAGTAGTTAAGTTTTTTAATTTTGCATTCTCTGATGCTTCTAATAGTAAATTGATAAATCACAGGTGGTTGGGTATGTGATCATACTAAAGATATTGTGTGTCACATAGAGGAAAAATTGTGTGAAAGACCCAATGTAGAATATATTGTTGAACTACCATGAGTAATTTGAAAATCATGTATTCTGGATGTTTAAATGTTCATAATTGAAGTAATATGTGACAGTCATATATTATTTTAGTTACAGAAACTACAGCAAGTACCAAAACATTTTAAGTTCATCATTGTAGTACATATTAAGTCTTTTTTTTTTTCCTAGTTAGGCTTTTCCATATTTAGTAAAACTTGTTGCACATCATGATCCTTAAAAGTGTGGTGTTCGTAGGTTGTATGTAAACATGATGATATGTGAGAGTTGTTGATAAATGAACAAAGTGTATATTTCAAGACTTCATTCAGTTTGGTGTTGTTCAGAGAAATGTCTGTTTTGCCAATTAAGTTGTTAAAATTGATTCTCTATATAAACTACATATTCAACTTTCAATCAACTTTTAAAAGTTACAATGGTTATTGCATCATAAATCATGTCAGTGGAGCCCCCCAGTGGCACAGTGGTTTGTCTGCAGACTTACAACACTAGAAACCGGGTTTTGATACCTGTGGTGGGCAGAGCACAGATAGGCCATTGTGTAGCTTTGTGCTTAACTTCAAACAAACAAACTTGTCAGTGAAACCTAAAACCTTAATATTCCATACAATTTACATTGCAGAAGTTTTCAGATAAGTGAAAAATGATTCATAAAAAATCTTAGAAACATAGGATTAAATCTTTCAAAGTATTTTTAACTTTCTAGTGCTTATCTATGTAATGTGACTCCAAATGATGCTTGATATTGCAAGGCAGCATCTAAAAACATTTTGTGTAGTGCCTCAAATGAGCAATACTTTTTTCAGCCTTTTGCACATTTCTTTAAACAAGTATGAAAGACTTTTACCTTGAAATAAGCTTAAACATTAAACAGGTGCAATAGCAGTTACATACGTTTCTCTAATCACTGTAATATATTATGTAAAGGTCAAAGATAATTTAAGATAGCTTTTCATAGATTAGTAGTTTACTTTTTGGTAGACAAATTACAATGGTTTTATAAAATATGCAGGACTGTGGGAGCATCTAAATTAGTAAACTCATCCACCAAGAGAAGTGTAAGGAAATATTGTTTTTTCCATGTATCTAAATTTTTCATTGTCTAAAAACTAACAGACATTTTTAGGGTATCTTTATGCAATGTTAACAAATATCAAACTAGATATTAATGTAACTGATCAGTAATTCACTTTGTTATTTACCTTAGGTACTTTTTCTTCAGTGAGAAATAGTTTATTCTTCAAGAGCAAAAAACTGTATGTTTTGCAGCTGATATATTGTTGAGTGGATTCTTTGAATCATTCAATTGAAATAATATGTAACGTCTGGCTCCAAAAATGTTTTATTTCTTTTACTACAACTTTTTTAGCTAGTTTAACTAATGCTCACCGATAGGCCTAAGGTCATAATAGATGCTAACAGAGCAATTTCACTTGCTAATTTTCTTGTATGTACATATCTACTTCTTAAAAATAAAAACTCAATATTCACAAAACTGACTAAAGTAACAGCTAGACCAACTGACTAACAAATTCACTAGCTAAATGATCAGTCCTCTACTACAAAATACTCACTAACAAATAATTTACTTAAGCCTAACTAAAATCTTAGCATTTGTATTATTTCTCAAAATCTCAAGAAAGTTGTTCTCAATCAGTCATACCTTTTATACGATTTCAGAACTCCTTCTGATGAAACAATAAAACAAACATCTAAATTACAAAACATATCCTAGAGAAAATATGGATAATTTCAGGCTACACTTAGATAAAAGTTCAGTCATATCTCTAAATCTCAAGAAGAATGATATAGAAATTATGCTCTTTCATAAAATTCCTTTGATGTCTACAGCTAACTTTTTCATACAGGATATCTGTTTAAGGGAACTGTATATAAACTAGCTTTTAGAAGATTCTCACAGTGACAGAGCATTACAGAAGAATAAAAAAACATTATTGCTGTTTCACAACATTAAGTTTTAACAACTAGATGTTATGCAAGTCAAAAGAAGTTGGTGACAAAGTAGACTAGAAAATTAAAGTAAAATTAAAAATTTTGCTTCCATAAACAAAAAATTTCATTTGTAGTTTATTTAAATAAATTTACTTTTATCCAATTCTAATAAAAATGACAATTTGATAATATTTCAGGATCGAATGTGGAGAAAAAACAGATCACTTCCCCCTCAAAGAGGAGAACTAAGAAACTGCCTGGGAGTTGATATAAATCGTAACTTCGATGCTATGTTTGGAGGTATGCTCAGGAAATGATGAAATTCTCCAAGTATTAAGAGATATTTTGTCAGTAATATGAAGACCTAGAAGTCACACTTTTTAATCATTATCATGATATCAGACTGAGAAAAATATTAGGTATTGTGATTTGACTGAATAAACTGAATATAACAGTGAAAACAGCTTTTGTTTTGGTTCATACTTATAAAGGCAATGCAAGTAGAACAAATTAAATTATCCCCCCCCCCCAAGTTAGAATGTACATATCGACTATTTTTACAAATAGTTACTCTAAGACATAAAGAATGCTGGGAAGGATTACTTGCTTAACTTTCATGGCTTATGTAAATGTTAATGTTAGTATACACTTTTTATGAAGTGCAAAGTTTTCTAAGAATTTCAAATTGTTTGTTAGCAAGGTTTGCATTTATCCATCTTCATAGTTTGATTTGTTTACTCAATCTTGTACATGTTAAGCCACACCACTTCTAAAACTTGTGTGTTTTTTATAGTGTTCCAGTCAATCCTAACTTGTCTGTTATAAACAATTGTAAGGATGTTCTTACATACTCCTATATATTTTGATTGGGAAAAAATATCTGTGTGTTTGATTTACACAATAAAATAAAAATTGGTTAATAGATAATGTTGATAGTTATACATAAAAAAGGAAACTATCCTTTTCCCATACTTATCCATGTTTATTGAGATTTAGACTTGTTTGTGTTAGACATGTACAATCCTTATCTAAAAATCTGTTCTGTAAATGACTTAAGTTAAATTGATAATAATTACAATTCAATTGCTTGATCTGATTCGAAACCTAACAGTTGTTGTCCAATAAATTTGATGATGACATATATATATAGTGTCTAGACTGCTACTATATCTTTTCTTTCCCAACTACTAACTTTATGAGCCCTGGTATTAAGCGAAAGGCCTCATCAGCACTAGATAAAGCAAATGTAGTATGTATGGTTGACATGTCATAAATATTCTCTTTGCCTTTCACTCATGGCTTAAAATGAAGTGACAATTAATAAATTATTGTTTCTGATAAATTTACATGATTGATATAAAAAAGAGAGCAAATCTTATTGTATGAGAATGATATGAGGAAGCTAGCTTATCTTGTTGTATGTGAACGATATGAGGAAGCTAGCTAATCTTATTGTACGTGAATGATATGAGGAAGCTAGCTTATCTTATTGTACGTGAACGATATGAGGAAGCTAGCTTATCTTATTGTATGGGGATGAAATGAGGAAGCTAGCTAATCTTATTGTACGTGAACGATATGAGGAAGCTAGCTTATCTTATTGTATGGGGATGAAATGAGGAAGTTAGCTTATCTTATTGTATGTGAATGATATGAGGAAGCTAGCTTATCTTATTGTATGGGGATGAAATGAGGAAGCTAGCTTATCTTATTGTATGGGGATGAAATGAGGAAGTTAGCTTATCTTATTGTATGGGGATGAAATGAGGAAGCTAGCTTATCTTATTGTATGTGAATGATATGAGGAAGCTAGCTTATCTTATTGTATGGGGATGAAATGAGGAAGCTAGCTAATCTTATTGTACGTGAACGATATGAGGAAGCTAGCTTATCTTATTGTACGTGAGTGATATGAGGAAGTTAGATTATCTTATTGTACATGACTGGTATGAGGAAGCTAGCTTATCTTATTGTATATGAATGATATGAGGAAGCTAGCTTATCTCCTTTGTGTTATGGGTAGTATTCTTATATTATTCACTAGAATAATATCCATCTTTCCTGGTACAATGTTTTAAAATGAAATTGTGTGTACTTCAACTAAGTTTAAGTGTTAAAAAGAAAGAAAGGGTATTCAATTGTTAATTTTGGACTTTTATGAAAATATACACTAAAATAAATGAAAAATGCTGTTTACTATTTAGATGAATATTTGGTTAATAGGTTTTAGAAAACCTTCTGTATTATTTAACTACCAGTAATTTTAAGGTAATTCAGAGAAGTCCTCAATGTGAAGGATTGTATTTTTTTCTTGAGATTGTACTGTACTAACATCTTATGAAAGTGGCATAAGAAAAATATGTTAAAAATAATAATTGAGTGCTTTGTAATTTGGGGAAGTGACACTTGTGGATTATATGCATGTAGAACTGTTCAATAATTATTGCATATTTAGTAATATTACTCTATTGTAGTTCAACATTGATCATTTCTAGTGACACTGAACTTTGTGACAAAAAAAAAAAAAGGGTTAAAAAACTATTTTTGTTACTTATTAGGAAAAGGAACAACTGATGACATATGTTCTGATATATATAGAGGAGAATCAGCTTTTTCTGAACCAGAGACTAGAGCCATAAGAGATGCTGTTTTACAGTTAAAGGGCCGACTGAAAGCATATTTTACACTACATTCTTATTCACAGTTGTGGATGTGTCCTTATGGTCACAGCCTAACATATCCTTTAAACTACAATGATCAAGTATGTATAAATTTCTTTTAAGTTTAATGTTTTATTTTTGAAGTTTATAGAATGTTTTTTAGAGCGAAGCTATATTGGGCTGTCTGCTGTATCCACCACAAGAAAATGAACTCCAGATTTTAGCACTGTAAATGTGTAGACTTACTGCTGTCCCACCAGAGGACATATAGAATGAGATGTGCTGCTGTAGCATTATGGTGGATTCAGTTGACTGACAGAATTTTTTCTTTGTTTTGCCGAGTTTATAGTGCGTACTGGAGGGATTTAAACATTATGGCAATAAAATTAGATAAAAAAAACAACAACTGTTACTCAACAGATAATGATAAAAAAATCTTTTTATTTCAGCCAAAGTTTCACCCTTGCAATTTCATTAGGCCTGGTAGTTCAAGAGCTCTAACTTTATTGACAAAATATATTTAACAAGGATTCAGAACTTTTCCTAGAAAATGTAACATGATTAAAGCTGATTTATGGAGAGTTATAAAAATATCTACTGGGATATCATTTAGATTATTGACAGAAATGTTTGCATTCCAGCATAACAAATTTTTTTAATTGTAGTTTTTCACAGTCCTGAAATATGTTAGTATATCTTAAAATAACTGGCTATGCCTGTTACACAACTGAGAATAACATGGGAATAAAATTATTTTATTGTTAACTATTTAGAAATTTAATTCATCAAAACCTCGTATTTTCTATACTTTGATATGAGTCTCTGATTCACTATGATTATTGATACACTAGTTTTCACTTGATTGACTTAAGAATATGTAGGAGTATTAAAACTATCTAAACTGTACTGCTTTCTTAATTTATTAATAAGATTTTCTTTAAAAAACTATTTTGTAATTGTTGTTGAGTAAATGTTTTATATCAATGACATATCAATGAAAACTATTTCAATCATGTGTATTGGCTAAATATGTAACAATTATGAAGAAGAATCAGATATTTTAGTGTACAAAATAACACTGTACATTAAATCTTGTTACACAAACAGCTTACAAGAGAGTATGATGTGCTCTTGCATAACAATAGTTTAAGGAAATGCTGTGAAACAACTTAGTATAAAGTTTGAAATTGTAAACTACGTAGCTCTCGCATGATGAATGGTTGCTAAAAAATTGTATCTACACTTGATACATGAAGCACGAACAGATGCTTAACACAATTTTTTATTTTCTTACTATTTGCATTTAACAATATTTCTTTGAAAATTAAAAAAGAATGTAAATAAATTGAAAAATTGACTCAGAAATCACAGGTTTCATAAATGTAGAGGGTTCAGTACAATTAAAAGGAGTACAATGTTAAAATAATTACACAATAAATAATTTATTAAAAACAGGGACCAGCCCTAAAAATACCCTACATGTTTCAGTGTTCTTAGGCTACCATCCTGCCAAAAACATCACTCTTGATTTATGAACAACAACTTCTCTTTATATTGCAATCCTCATGGATTGTTCTTACTTGAGGAACCATCAGTGGTATCTTGCTCCTTCATGGAGTTGTTACATCTCTGTTCGTTTGTTAATTTCCCGTAAAAGTTTTTTCCGAAGAACTTCAGCGATACAAGTCCTTTCTTATATAAAACTAGTTTATTCTTTCTCAATACAACTTTGCAATACACAGAATTTCCACAGTCACTTTAACTTTAACTTGAGTCAATTATCTGTCTCTATATCTCTTCAATCTGCTATTCTATCTCTGCCTTATTTGCTGGGCTTATATTCTAAAATAAAGTATGCCTAGAAAAGACTAGATTTGCCACAAACAGTCATGATCTTTCTAGAATCTCATGATGTGTTACTAGTGTCGCGTGACTTCCGTTGTCATAACAGAGTCTATCCTCAGACCTTTTGTATATTGGAATTTCTCCCACTTCTACTGAGAATCTGTATTTATATCAATTTGTTCAGTTAGGATTGTTGCATGTTCTTTAACCTCTATGTTTGTCCTAGGAAACCTGAGTATTTCTACATTACCAAACACCCCTGTTTACAAATATAGGGGTGTCTGAAGTTGAAAAATTATTTGATCAGAAAAAATTAAAACAATCCTGGCCTATCCTTCTGTGAGACTCCAAGTATTGATTTGTTCATTTGGGATTCTCGCATGTCATATATACCTCTGCATTTGCTCTAAACAAAATTCTATCCTCTATGCTGGAGCTCCATGAGAGGGTGCTGCCCTTTGGAAATGGACAGAGGGTAGGTGATGATGTGTCAGGAGAGCACCTTTCCCACGTATGCCATTTTATGGCAGTATAGATATCAGAAATAGGAATACTGTTATCACTAGATGCCTCAGTTCCAAACAGGATGGGGATCATCTGTGTTTTTATTATTGATTTGTTTATGTTTTTATTCTTCCATTTAACTGTCCTCACATTGTTTAGCCCACCCTTGGAGACTGTTTGAATGTTTCTTTGATTCTTCCTGAGTACCCACCAAGTTTGTCACTTGTATGACTCACTGGCCATTTTGAATATGAATAAAGGGGGGCTAACTTTGGAGTATGTCCTTTCATAATATGTGTCTGTGGCCATTTCACAAAGAACACTCCATTGCAGGAGTAGGACATAGTATTCCTCTTACATATTTATCCTACTATCTGTATTCCGTTGTTGGCTCCACAGATTCAATGTGCTGTTACCACTCACAAAATCAACCCCTTTGTTTAAATTAAAGGCATCAAAGAGTTACCTTGCTGAAAATAATGCCTTTATTCTGAATATCCTTTCAGTCAATTCCTTTTTATAAAGCTGTTCTGCTCCATTTATTCTTCCTCAAATCCAGTTCTACAAATTATTTTATGGTTCTGAATTCTACTTAGCTACACATTTCTTGTAGTATAGATTATTCTTTTCCTGCCCTATAGCGTATAGTTTTATATTTTTCTGGATTTTTCAAGTTCATTGGTTTCCACCACCTTTTACAATGTGTATATTCTGGCTTTCAGTATTTAAGAGATAAGTCTATCTTATTTGACTTTTACATTTTTAAACTTAAAATTAATTTCAAACAGGACTTATCTTAGAAATAACTTTCCTTCCATGTCCTCACAACTGAATTTTCATCATCACTGCATCTTTAAATAAAATCAAAACTATGGCAGGAAAGCAGAACTTGTGTAAGACACTTGAGCAATATATCACATAGAAGGTAGGTAAGTGGGGAATTTTGGGTAAGTAACACATGCTCTGCAATGCATAAAGGAGTTTGGAAATTTGAGTAGTGTTTTGTTGACAACATAAGTTCAAACTCAACAAGGAAATGTTTCAGTATTTCAGAGGTTAAGTACTTGTTTGGAATTCATTTTCATTATAAAAATGTAAAATTTTTATAGTTGAATATGTAGAGAATACTAATAATCATGTATAAGATAAACTAACTTTTTATTTGGTTGTCTTAAGGTTACTTTCAAATAACCAGACAAAATATTTGTAAAGGCAATATAGAATTTAGATAACTTAAAAAGTTACCTTTAATAGTGTGTCGTCAAAAAACAAAAGCACTTCTATATTGAACAGTATAAAAATAAAATTATCAGTTTTATTATTTTCAAACATTCAAAAGAATAAAAATACTTTCATTGAAAAATCCTTGGCATATAGTTTTATGTTCAGCTTTTGTCTATGATTAAGAATTCCATTACTGTCTAGTTTTTGATTTGTTTAACTGAAGGATTATTCCCAAGTATAAACCTTTACCTTTTACTAGTTCTCTTACATCAGAGGTAGGGCATTTTATAGAATGTTTTAACATGATACCGTTTACTGCCCCATAAAATACATAATACTATTGTGGTTAGTAATGTAACTTTATGAAGATATTCAAGGACAAAGGAGTACTTTCTTAGGAAGTAACTCTTAGAGCAGACACTCACCACATTTCCCTTTTACCAAATGTCTTTGTCTTTATTTCTTGATGTGTTTGAAATGATTTTATTGAGTTTTTCATTAATTAAAGGCCAAAAAGTCATATGATTATGTCGATTTATTTCAGAATAATGTTCAAGTTCATAAAATGTTATACTCTTGTTGTTTAGGATAAAGTTTGTTTGTGCTATATTATCAGTTTAGACTCATATGAGAGAATTTGTTCAGATATATTAAATACACAATACTGTCTGAAGCAATCTGAAAGTTGAGATCTACTATTACAGAACAAGTTATTCTGTAATAGTGAATCTTGTCTTTATTTTTTGTTCAGAAATTTATCTGATTTGGAGCCCTAAAAATGTACATATACATTATGTATTTTATAAATTTTTTTATTTACCACTTTTAGAAATGTACAAATAAACAGCAGTACAAACATCAGTCAATTGTTAAAATATACAATAATTTTTAAAATAATTCCTATAAACTGCATGCATTCTTACATATATCATAAAGCACAAGTTCAAGTTCCACTGATAACTAAAAGTATGCAACTACTTTTGCAATTATATGTATAGAACTTTAAAATTAAGTAATAATTAATGTTTTCACAAGGTTTGTGCATTACATTCTTTTTAATGTAGTTTGTCATATCCATTTTGACTCATCTTCAGTCTTTAGGGCACATGTGGGAACACGAATATGACAGATGTAATGATTCTGTATATCGTGGTACAAATGTTTTTAGTTAAGGTAAAGTTGAAAAAAGAGCACTATTAATTAAGTGGCTTTCTATTCATATAAGTATTGTAAAGCTGTAAAAATTAAAATTTCAATGATTTTATAAACTTGTAGAGACCCAGTTTTCAAGTTTAGTATAGGCTCTTTTCACCTCATTTTATACATTTCTGTGCTGGTTGATATGCATCATGTTAATGAGGTTTCTAAATGATAATAAAAAAAATCTGTACATATTGTGGTATCAAGTTAAACCTTGATTACATTGCAAACTTCATATTATCAGAAAGTTAAAATGTATAGTATCAATACTTACAGTGCATAAAATGTAATGTCCATTACAAAATAATTCCACTGTGCACTTCGTGTACTGAACATAAACATACACCACCTTCTGAAAGTCAGGGATTCAGAGAAAATAGGGGTTAATAATGGCATGGCTTGAGAATTGGATTTCTGGGAAAGGTGGGGTTTTTTTTAGGGGGGGGCAAAGGAAGAACACGGTCCTGGTTCTGGTTGACACCCAGCCCCAGACAAAGCTTGGTGACTAGCTACCCAGACCTGGTATTGGGCCAAATTTTACTCCCATGTATCCCTACTTATATTCTGTACATGTACTTGTATTACAAGTATTTGTGATGTAATACAAGTACATGTACAGATTAAAAGTATTTTTGATGCAATACAAGTACATGTACAGATTATAAGTATTTGTGATGTAGTATATAAAGAAGAATTATGAAGGGAGCTAACAGAACATTCGTGAGAACAGGAATCATCCTTTTGTACAACTAAGTCCACCAATGATGTAAATTCGCTATCCAAAGTGACCGTATAACTTGCTGAGAGCGAGAATGTGCCACAAACTGTCTCTGGCCAAAGTGTGTTGCAAGGTTTAAATGTGGAAATTGGTGTGGCCTTTCATTAATGCATTTCGCTTTTTGAGTTAAAAGAATCTGAACCTTGTGCATGTCTCAACACTAGCTTAGTAAATCATCTGCGAAACTGGAACAGTTGTGGGAGAGACGTCTGTATTCTGGAAGATCAGATGCCAGTTTTTTCAGTTTAGTACTGAGTTCAAAGGCCTTCAGAATGGGATCACTACAAATTGAAATTATGTACACTGGGCTTCCAAGAGCATGGTAAGCATTCTTATGGACAATGGAATCCCTTAATGTCTCAACATATGCATGGTTTCTTGTACAGCTAAATCGTGAGCAGTCACATGCTTGATCCCGTGGTTCTTCTACAAAATATGACCAATTTAAGAGAAGACATGTTATTCTATAATTTTCAGTAATAGCAGCCACAACAGTGGAAGTTAAGTTACTGGTGGCATCATCTGGATGAGATAGGTTTTCCTTCTCCCATTCTGGTAAACTGTCCAACAGGGTTTTGATTACATCTTCTTTATTCTCCAGCACAGCCTGTAAGATATCAGCATATCAATGGGTGTAATGAATTGGTTCTGTCCTAGTTTCAGACAACTTCAGAAGTTCACCAAGAAGCTCCTTGTCATATACTACAATGGCAATTTGCAAAGCATGCTCACCTTGGAAGTTGATTGACAGATTTGGATTGTTCTCTAAAAAATACCAGATTCTTTCAGTATTTCGGTCTTCAACCTGCCTTAGGAAGGTTTCTTCATCAGTTATAACTGAAGTCTTTGTTGCCAGAACAGTATTTTTCGTGTTTCTGACCATGATTCATGTGTGAAGTTTTCCATGTTATATTTTCTTAAACTTTTTATTATTATTATTCGTTGAAAACTACCCCAAGTACTTATAACCCTTCACGTGGAAACTATTACATAATCTTACCTCCCTAATATATATACAGATTATAAGTATTTGTAATGCAATACATGTACAGATTATAAGTATTTGTAATGTAACACATGTACAGATTATAAGTATTTTTGTGATTCTTTAATAATCATATTGCTTTAAATATTTTCTCCCTTTGAAATTACACTAAGGTCACATATGTTTAACAATATTCATTTAGTATTATGGATGGTAAGAAAGTTGTTGTGGCATCAAATAAACTATGCAATAGTATTCATTATCCAACATCGTCAATGACCTTATAATGAGCCCCATTTTGTATGATATTGATAACTGACTTTTTTACCTCCTTTCACCCACCCAGACTATTATATAATGTTTATCATCCATTTCATTTAACGTTGTTTTAATGATGATGTTTCATTATTTTCACTTTTCAGTTTCAAGCTCTACATACTGCTATAAATGCTGTTTGGAAAAAACATGGGAAATACTACAAGTTTGGAAGCATTGCATCTGTGATCTGTAAGTAACATAAAATACATCCCTTGAATAAGTGGTTCTTTTTTTTAGCTATTATAGGATTTCTTGAAATCTATCTTAAATTGTAAAACTCACTGCATATGAATATCTTATGTGTAATGATTACCATTTACAAAATACATTTATTGACTCCATAAATGTGTTGTAAGTTTAACTACCAGTTGGTAAAAGGCCTGTCACTTTTAAAACATGTACAGTGTGTTAATCAGGATGTCTATAGGTATGTGTTGATTATCCCTTCTCAACAATTTCGTATGTTATATTTTTTAGTTGTGTTTTATGAAACAGACTTGTAAGTATTTGTGATGTAATACAAATACATGTACAGATAAGGACTTAAGACATGTGACATAAAGTGGAAAAAAGTATTACACTTACGAAGTTGCAAGTCATCAGAATATGAGGTAAATTATAACGAATAATGATTCCAAAACAAGGTAACAAACAGAGATAATTTAAAATGCTAGTCAGATTCATCACTTGTACTTATTTCAGTGAACATAACTTTTAATATATCATTTTTATTCAGTAGGAGAAAATAAATTACAGTGTTTTATAATTTGTCGAATATTGGTAGTTATAACAATTATGCTTAAAAAATTTGACAAAAAAAAAAGAAGAAAAACATTTTATCATTTTTTAAAACTTTCAGTGCTGACTGAAGGATGGAAACCATTTTCAATGAAGATGACAAACAACTTCTAGATAAATGTTTATTTTATTCTACCCGACATTTCGGCTTACACCTTTTTTCTAAGGTTTTAGTTGAATGTCACAGGT